GGGGGCTACAGAAATTGGAAATGAGAATTAAAAGCAGTACTTCTGTGATCCCAGCTCTGTTCACAAGGGACCTGACAGGAACTTTTTCCCACGTTCTGTCAGATCTTTGTCTTTCTCCATGAACAATGTACATTTATTTTCATTTTCTTGCCTTGCATAAGCCAGCGTCCTCTATGGTTTTGGTCTGTGGAAATAATCTCGCAAGAAATTAATACATTTTCCTAGACGCAAATATACCAGCAAAGGCTTCTATCCTCATACTGTTAAAGAGACCGCTGCCAGTTAGATTTCCGAGTTCAGACATTAGTGTCAGTTCGAAATTGTATTCATCAACTTATGCTAAACAGGATCAGACAAAACGCGATAGCACCATCAGTTTGGTTTTGACGTCTAAATAATACTGACTTTCTCAGTGAAAAGCGAACGTAATATCTGCCTGCCAAATGTTTCACTCCTTCGACAAGAGATGTTTTACACCCGTTTTATCCAGTATCTTTGCAAACGACCTTTAACCTATTTTTTTTTTTGTTCTAATAGCTTCATATTCTGTGGTGTTCTAAAAATAAAAAAAAGAACCAAGCTGTGAATATCGTTTAATTACCCCGCTGCAAGGATTTTAGTTGCGCCCCCGCTCCCACAAAATAGTGGTAATGAAATGCCATACTGTGTAACAGCGTTGTGACCTTTGCACGTGAGACACGGTTGCATAATCACGTTTGAGTCAGAGAATTACCCCCCTGTCCCGATGTCATATATGCGACCCCGGCCCGCGCACAGATTTCTGGGGTTCGAATCCTGCCATTTTAATGTGAGGACTACGACTTTAGTTTATTGTTTAGTGTTGGTGATTCTCTTCCGTTTACCAAAGATATCACCGTGGTTTGAGACACCTTCCCGGCGTTCTTGAATTTGGGCTATTTTGGCTTTTTTTGTTGCTGTCCGCCAACTTAACTATCATATCAGGGATTACCGTTAAAATCTGTGTCATATTGTGTTATTAATGTATGTGTTTTTCAGTATGTGTTTGAGTTTATGTAAATGCGTGCATGTGTGTGTGTGTGTGTGTGTGTGTGTGTGTGTGTGTGTGTGTGTGTGTGTGTGTGTGTGTGTGCGCGCGCGCTTATGCTAGCGTGAGAACGTATCTCTCAATGTGTTTGCGTGATTGTCTGTCTGTCCCTCCGACCGTCCATCCGCCCATCTATCTGTCTGTCTGTCTGTCTGTCTGTCTGTCTGTCTGTCTGTCTGTCTGTCTGCGTGCTGGCGTGCAAATGCGTCTGGCTGTGTATTGAGTATCTTTGTGAGTTTCCAAAACGCCCTGGTCCGACTAGAGAGGGACGAGGAATCAATACGTGCCGGCTACAGAATGACCGTAGCAAACACAGCCTGACAGGTACCGAAGAGAGAGAAAGAGAGTTTGTGTGTGTGTGTGTGTGTGTGTG